GGGGCTGCATCGCGCGAATCTCGAAGATATCGCGCAGAAAATTCTCCATGAGATGACGTAAGTGTGTGCTGACACAGGACTGGAGTTTGATGCCGGGGTGAAATATTCTGACATGTCAACCTTGGTCATCACCGTAAGGTTGGCCGCTGAAAAGGCGAATGCAAACGACGCACCGCAGTTGAAGAAGAACGTGTCAGTGCATGACATGCACAAGATCCCTTTGGCAACGAGTCAAATCCTTGCACCTGCCAGCAATCCGTCGTGGCAGTTGATGAAACACTCGCACTTCGAGGTAATGTACGAGCGAGCTGGCGACTGCTCACGTCAACCTGTAGCAATACGCCAGTTTGCCCGGGGGATGGTACGACATGCTGGAAGGTCTTCAAAAGCAATGGGACTGGACGTTCGAAGAAATCATCCATCTCCAATGCGCGTTGACCCACTTCAGTCGGTTTCGGTCCAACACGATTCCCCAGTTCCCATCGAGCCGAGTTGCAAATCGGTCGCTGGAATGGCTGGGCGACTCGATCTTAAACACATGTGTGGCTATCTACCTCTTTCAATCATACCCCCTGATGCAAGAAGGGCAGTTGACGCAATTGCGGTCGGCGCTGATCAACAACTCGATTTTGTCACTCGTGTCGACGCAACTTGGACTGCCCCCCGCAATTCTGACTGGGTCTCGCGCGGCACAAAGCGAAACTGAAGAATCCGATGCTGCCATTAGTATGCGCCAGACCATCTATGCAAGTGCGGTGGAATCATTGATTGGCGCTGTGTTCCTCGACCAGGTGATGGCTCGCCCCTGTTGACGTTGCCTGTCAAGGGATGATTTGATGTAGTTGATAGGGCATGTCTCGAGCGATGGAGTTTGTGAATACGCGCGTGCTTCCCCTTGCGATTGACTTGGCGACGAACTCGAGAAACTGGGACCCCGTGAGCGAACTCCAGCGCCGACTTACGACCAAAAAGCGTACCGTGCGCTACGATAGGTCCACCTTCAGTTTACATGGATTGCATTCATCGTGGATTATGCGGTTAGAACGAAAGATGAGCTCGTGCACGATGTTACGCTCTACGTCGACGAAAAATTCATCATGCGCGACACGGGTGCCAATTACAAAGACATCCAACGGTCCATTGCGCACCATGTCCTTGACACGCTGGAGAAAACTCATCCCGAGATCAAGTACGACTGATGCGATCGTCTTGGGTGGTGCAGCTCGATCCTTCCTGCATCGGTCCCGCCGCAATGCGCTGGTTTGAATCGAAACAAAACTCTGCAGTCCCATTTTTTAGCTTGGTTGAAACAACAAAAATTGCGGCAGGCGTCATTATTAAAGACTTCTTGATTCACGTGACCATTTTGAGGTTATGTTCGAAGGCAGCGCAGTTATATTTCTTGAAAACCGAATTTGCATCGCAGAATTTCTGTATATCGAGCTGTTGCCAGTATTAACAGTAAAAAATGTATCCACCCTTCGTCTGGCAATCGATTTTAATGGTCCCTGTCCAGGGAGACGAAGAAACGCATTTGATTGGTAATATGTACTTTTATGGAATTTATGAGGTAGTGTTGATTGGCTGAAGCTATTTTGAGATGATTTTGACATTATTTCTCGATTTGATAAATGCAAGAGGTTTCTCGTTGGCCAATCATTGCGCTGAAAATCGACCATCCAAACAAAACAACATGCTGGCATGGCGCGGACGTTGGCAGGTGGCGCTGATACCGCGCCGATGGCGCATAGACTCACGTTTTGTCGCCAGCAAGACCACGGCACCACTTCAAACAAAGCAAAATGCTTCGTTAAAGAGGCTTGTGTCGGTGAAGGACATGCACTCGAATCTGCTGGATACCCACCACCTTGTGATGCCGTCTACAAACCCGGCTTGGCAGGTCACATCTGAGGCACATTTTGAAGTACGCTGGTACCTCGCAGGCCCACCGCCACGAAATCACTGACCCGAGATTGCCATGGCGTAGGAATATGCGAATGTTCCTCCCGACTGGCCATCAAAATTGGACGACCTGCAGGCTCGATGGAATTGGCGCTTTGACAATGTATTGCATTTGCAATGTGCATTGACCCACTTCAGCCGATTCTTCCCCAGCACGCATCAGCTTTTCCCCGCGAACCGCACTGCCAACAGGTCCCTCGAATGGCTCGGCGACTCCGTACTCAACACGTGCGTGGCAAGCTACCTCTTCCAGTCGTATCCTACGGTCCAGGAAGGGCAATTGACACAGCTGCGGTCAGCGCTTGTGAATAATGGCGTGTTGAGTCGAGTGGCCGTGGACTTGAACCTGCCTTCTGCTATGCTGTTTGGCGAAAGTGTTGTGCATGCGTATCACGATGACTCGGCCTTCGCCAATTCGATGAAGCAGACATTGCATGCAAGCGTCGTCGAGGCGCTCGTCGGTGCCGTGCTGCTCGACCAGGTATCATTCAGTTTCTCCTGTCGCAAGTGACATCGCAGGAAAATGACAGACGCATGATGCAACATCGACAGGGATTGGTTCGCGCGATCGAGTTTGCCAACACGAACGTTTTGCCGAAAGCGATTGAATATGCACGAACAACGTCCAACATGTGGGATCCTGTGAGTGAAATCTTTCGTCGAGCAGATGCCGAAGGCATCTCCATTCGCTTTGACAGGTACTCCGCACAAGTCGAAGTCTCATGGGACTGATTCGATGTGGGACCAGGACCAAAATCGACAACGACAAACACCTCATCTCCCTATACATTGACGACAAGAAGGTGCTCACCCAACTCGGCCCAAGTTTCAAGACAATCACGGCCAGGCTTGCAGAGAGACTGATAAAGTCGTGGAAGACATTGGTCCCAAAGAAGGACAAATCGACCACCAACAAGCCATAACATTGGTCGGCAGGACAGTCACGCGTATCAATTCAAGCTACCACCGTAGTTTACATGGCGCACGATGTCGCAGCTGATGTCGAGGCATTGTGACAGTTCGTTCGTCTGACACATCCAAGGGAAATTCGAACTTGTACCAATGTCCCCTCGAGATTATTTTACACTTAGCTTTCATTTCGATTTTGTATGACATTTTTTGAATTTGACCTGTCTGGGATGCCGAAAAATTCTCCGGTTTTTCCATTCATTGGCAATGTCGACAAGGAATATACGAAAGGGACACAGTTTAGGTTTACGAATGGATCCTCCAGGCCAATGTCATGGCGCAACACCGAGACACACGGTTAAGAAGGATGCATTTGAGCCGCCTCTCACGTATTATGGCAATCTCGAATCCAGACAGCAAATTATGTCTCCGCAAGGTATCGCCAAGATGTCGAAATTATATGTACAATAGTATTTTTCTTGGACAAAATTTGGTGTCGGCATCCAGACCGCATTTTAAGGAGGGGCTGGTAGGTTGAGACAATTGTATAGACAATTCTATTCTATACAAACACGCTGTTGTAGAATACGCAGCATCGGGCCTTGGAAAGCAACCAACAATACCTGTCGTGGTAGCGGGGATGGCGAAGCGAATCGAAGAAAGCGACGATAGTGGCAGTGCCAGTGAGAGCGGTAGCGGTAGCGGCAGTGGCTCAGGCAGTGGCAGCGAATCTGGAAGCGACTCGGGCAGTGGTAGTGGCAGCGACTCTGGCAGTGGGAGCGACAGCGACTCCGAGAGTGGAAGCGGCAGCGGCAGCGGCAGCGGTAGTGACAGCGAGAGTGACGACGACAAGAAAGCCCCAGCCAAGCCGAAAGCTGCACCAAAGGCGAAACCTGCTGCAAAACCTGCCAAGAAGAAGTCTCCGTCGAAGCCACCCAAACCAGCCGTGAAGAAGTCTGCTGTGAGTAAGAAGGTGATTGAGGACGATGATGATGCTGGCAAGATTGAAGAGATTGACCCGGAGCGCCTCAAGGGGTTGAACGAAGTGGAGAAGGAAGCTCTCATGCTGTACGTGTCGTATATCTTTGTTTTTGGCGGAGCCAGTGGACTCACCTCTGTGGTGCAGGGAGCACTACGAGTCGCAGGCAAAGAAGAGCAAAGACATTGCGTTGAAGAAGAAACTCGAGAGCGAGAGGGAAGCATTAGACGAGGACAACGAAGTGGCAGGACGACGATTGCGCAACAGGGACTCGGACAGCCGCAAGTCGGCGTTGTCGAACCTGAAATCAATCAAGCAAGGCGACAAGAGCTCCAAGTCGATCCTAAGCAAGCGATTTGGCGGTACGAACGGCAACGACGATGGCTCCGATTTCGACGAAGGCGATGCAAACCGTGACGAGCTCGCCGAGAAGCGTCGCCGACGCAAGGAGTTGCAGCGCGCAAGTGCGACGGAAGCGTCGTCGTCGCACACGTCGGCGTCGGCATCGTCGTCGGCTCGAACTGCATCCAAGCAAGAAGACCCGAATCACGTGGAGTTGCAGGAACCGGACCTGTCTGGGCCGTTGGAGCATCGTCATGCGCTGGCGGTACGCGTTCTCATCACGTCCCCTGTGATCTCACGTGCGGTGGCAGTACCTCTTTAAACGCCGTGAGTGGTTCGAAAAGAACTTTTTCGAGCCATTTTTTGACAAACTCGTCAAAGGAGCATATGTCAAAGTTATCATTGACGACGGGGCCGACGAAGGCGACCGCGTGTACCGGTTCTGCCAAATCGTTCACATGTGCTACGTGGAGAAGGAGTACGTGTTCGCCGGCGAGAAGACGAAGAAGGCGCTCATGTTGGCGTACGGCAAAGACAAGCGGGCATTCCCCCTCTCGGGCGTGTCGAACCACAGCCTCATCGAACGCGAATTCGAGCTGTGGCGCATCCACTTGCAAAAGCAAGGGCTCTCTGTACCCACGAAAGACCAAGCGAAGAAGCATTATGCCGCCGTCAAGGCACTGCCGTTGAAGCACAAGTACACGGACGAAGAAGTCACGACCATGGTGAACCGCAAAAAGGCGAGTGGGCTGACCCAAGTGTCGTTGGGTACGAATTCCGGCACGAGGCGTGGATGGAGGGTGGTGCCAGAGTGGTGGCGCTCAACCTTTCTGTGGTGATGAATCGTGACTGTTTGGCGTGTGTTTTGCTCTGTGATGTGCTCCATGCAGCGCTGAGCTTGGCGAATGGCAATGCTGCAATGCATCAAGGCCTTTCTTCGTCGAGTGGTCCTGGGTGGTGTGGAGTGCGAACGCTGACTTCGTTTCAAGTTTACGATTGGTCTCCTTATCGATACTGGTTGGATGGTAGGGGTCGAGATCGTGCGGCTTGAGCGGGACGTGGCGGCAGCCAAGACTGTGAACAACTTTGACAAGTCGATGGAGTTGGAAGCGCGGTTGGCGCAGGCGCGGCAAGCGAACGAGCAGCGCCTGGCTGTCAAAACGGAGGACGTCGAACGCATTAATCAAATCAACAAGCGCAATCGAGAGATCAACATGAAACGCGACATGGACGCGAGCGCTTCCAATCGTGCGCAGATGGAGAACATGTCGGCCGCACAGAAGCTGCAGTACGTGCGCGCATCGGCATCGCGGAGGATGTATTTGTCCCGCGACAAAATCGAGGCCAATTTGGCTGAAGGCAAGTTGGTGCAGCTGCCGGATGGCCGCATCATGACCGTCAACAAGTTGGTCGAAGTCGAGGCGTTGCCAGACGATATCATCCCCGACAAGGCGAAAAAGTCCAAAGAGGAAGATGTACTAGTCAAGATGGAGCGCAAACGGAAGGCCCAGGAGGCGGCGGTCGTGGAGGCTCGAGTAAACGCGGTCGAAGTCCAAGGAGACGGCAATGACATTGCCCACAAGACAATTCGGTACATGGAAGACGATGGATCGTGGACGACAATTCGGTCCGCAGCCGAGATCTTGGAGGAGCAGGAACGCAAGAAACGCCCAGTTGTGTCGGACGAAGTGAAGAAGAACCGTCGAGGCATCTCGATGAAGGACTACTTCAACCGAGTCAAAGAACGCCAGGCCAACGGAGACAACGCCTCATAAGACGATGTCTAACTTGTAAACATTCATAGCTGCAACAGCGAGCAGCCGAGTAGAATTATAGATTAATCCGTTTGGGAGCCACGCATGCCGACGTTGTGATGTCGGCGAAAGCGAAGTGCTCGATCAATCCCTCGATGGCAGGTCAATGCCCCCATAGAAAACGACAACAACTTTACATGCTAGTACTTCTTCATGTTCCTGCGTCGCAGCGCACTCCGCCTCGAGCCTCCTTTGTCTACGCATGGGCTTTCACGCAATGGGTTGTCCTTTGTAGGCATGGTCGCCTTGGCGAGGAGCGTCACAAGCATTGGTCAAGTTAGGTCCAGTTATCTCAGTCATAAAATGCATGGGCCATTATATACTGCACTGCAAGTGGGTCCTACATACTAAAAAATTCCAAAATATTTGTGGTTACTAGTACTTTGGAATACTTCATTGGGTTCTCAACTTTTAGACTTGTTTCGGTTAAATCAATTAAGCTTGTCAACATACTACTACTGTAGATCGAAAAAGAACTATTTCGAGCGAATGAGAATCCAAGGAAAATCTTCGTCACGGATTGGTTGGGTTCTTAATTTTGGAACATGGACGCAAGCGTCGCTTCAAGCAACCACTTCGGCTCGTTCCTGGTCCTGTGAACATGCTGCGACGCGCGAGCGCCTCGATGGGGCGCCGACCCATGACGACCGTCAACAGCAACTACGTGAAGCGACTCGTACAAGACGCCAACAACCACCCGATGGACCCCCTGCGCCAACTGCGTGTGCTCCAGATGCTCAACAAGATCCATCCGTCCCTTGTGATCCAGCGCGTGGAGGAGGTGCAGTTTGCAATGTCACAAGAGGTTCAAAAGGAGTACATGAAGGCGCTGGTGAACTCGGACCGTATGGACTCGGTCGATTTGAACCTCTTCTTAGCTCGCATGCAGACGACAGGGATCGCAGGATTGACCACCCGCGAAACATACAAGTCTCGTGGAATCCCTCACGATCAAACAGTCAACGAATATGGATACCGCGCATGGGCCGCATTTGCCATGCTGGCGTGGGGCGGCATTGTCGGTATGTCCTTGATGACGTTCTGGAATGAAGAAGGGTGGAAGGAAGAACACCCGATGACTGCTGGGTTCATGCGTGGGCTGGAGCTACATTCGGAACTTCCCAAGCGCTCGAGTCGACCTTCCTCCCAAGAAAAAACAGAATCTACGTCCAAGACTCCCCGCGCATGAGGAGTGAAAAGAATGTGTCTATGTATGCCGTTCCGCACAGGAACTTCGACCGCCGTTCTGTCGAAGGTGACCCGTTCAGCAGAGGCATGGGAGTTTCGTCGCAAATTTGCGTGTAATGTAGAATCGATCCAATATATGCTAGAGACGTTGTGCTGTGCATCGCCATGCGCAATGTGTTGAAAGGCAGAGCACCTCCACGTCATTTTTTGTATCCGTTGGGTGACTGCCTCGTGGGCAGGTTAAACGCCAGCAAACTTTCCAAGGAAATGAATTGCACGTCCATGTTGGGCAAACAACTTCGTGCACGGTAGCTTGAAGAAAGAAACACATCATGCATGATGGTGTTGCAAGGCGGCTTGCATGCGATACTCGGGTCTGGTTGGTAAAGCGCATGCGACGACGGCGGCGCATAGCCGAGGCAGGTGGCGGACTGGCCACATCCTTTACAATGGGGCATGCCTGACCAATGGAAACGCTGGATTTTAGAATGGCGTGAAACGATTGGTCCCATTTGATATCAAGGCGAAATTCGGACCAATCAGACGCATCCATTTAGTTGAAGTGACCGAGAAGATATTCGTCGTGCCCATCCTTCTTCTTCAGGCTCCGCTTGCGACGATGGCCATTCTCGAATTCGACAACTGGGAGCAACGAATGGACTTTACCAGCACAATCTGCGTCGGCGACATCCAGTGCCCCATTGTGTACCAGGTACACCCGATGCATCGATGCGCCGTGTGTGGCGGAAGCACGTTCTGTCATGAGCACTTTGGAATGCACTTCATCGCGTATAACGAACAATGTCCCATTAAGATGCCTACCGCTGGCACGGCCAAAGCACCGACGACCAAATGTAGTCAAACTAGCTCAAGAGCGTCGTCACGGCGCTCCAGCACCGATGAAAGTCGACAGGACGATGACGAATGGCAATTTGAAACGGATTACACGTGGAGTGTTGGACCAGGTCATGACTTGGCGCGCAGGAGCTACGACGTCACGAGCCATTGAAGACCATCCGAACGAATTGTGAGGTTGAATGTTGTATAATATGTACAAATGCCACAAAATGAAATCGAGCACAGTGTTGTGTCGCCCGCATCAACATAGATTCCCCCTCACATCTTCACAACGATGTATGGCTATGCAGAATGCGATCTATCCAGTTGAGAGGGAAGTTGTTGCTGTGAATGTGACAACGATGGATTTGACTTACAAGCCAACACGGCCGCGCCAAACCCATTGTCGATGTTGACGACACCAACGCCGGGGGAACAAGCGTTGAGCATGGTCAAGAGCGGCGCGAGTCCCCCAAAGGCAGCACCATACCTACGCATACATATGGTCTCTATTTCTACAAGTATTCGAGTCGGGATTGTACCCGACACTTGTTGGCACTGCCACAATCGGTTTGCTCGTTAGCCCCCCCTACATTCGCCATTCAATGCACAGTTCAATCCGCAATTGTATGCGACTCGCGCTCACCACAACACCAGGTAAAGCACCATCCATCCCAGCGACCACAATGATCGCGTCTCCGTCCTGAATGGCTTGGCGGTTCCGCAACAGTCTGTGGATTCCTGCTACGCCGACGTCGTAAATGCGCTGGACTTTGACTCCCGCCAACTCTATTGTCAACGCCTTGTGAATTGTCATGCATCGTTCTCAATCGCGTGAGCGACCAGTACCAAGTGTCACGGCGGCTTCTTCGGCGACAGGCAAGTCCGACGTACCAGCACAGAGCACACATACCACCTACACAATGCTCAGGATGTACGGTGGTCATCCACTGGAACGAGATTGGTGACCTGGGATGTGGTTGGAGACGGTTTATCTTGCAGCGACAGCAGGTTCGCAGTTGGAAAGTAGTGGATTTGCTATGGCCGATTGTAGGATTCATAGAGGAGAAAAACGATCCAATACACCTTCAAGTCCTCGTGCGATCGTACTGCAGCAGCCAAATCTTTGCTCACGCGGGTAGCGAGCGCCATTTCGTTGGTCCTTTTCATGGCAAGAAGTATTTTGGTCACTTGGTCGTGTGTCTTGCCTTCGCTGTACACAACTTCAGGGAATCCCGTTCGCGCAGTGCGCTGGCCATCCAATTTGGCATACTCTTCGAGTACGTCATACTCCAATGCACTCCACTCGGCCATGGCTTTTGACGCAGATACCTTTCAGAAGAACAGTGATGGGAATTGACCTGCTTCCCGACAGTACGAGGATGTACCTTTCCTGCCGCAACTGCGTCAAAGAGCTTCCGAAGACTAGATGATTGACGTTCGCTTTGGGTTGAATACCTCAGCGCTATGGGAGTGGGGTTACGCAGTCGCGGCAGTGGGCCATGGACCTCGTGCCGGACCAGGAATCGTGTCAAGTTCATGCTAATTCCCAGTACATGGATCGCAAATGTGCTTCCGGATAACAGAAGTGTTTACGTTGAACCAATGTGCAGAGCAATCATGATTATCCGGATGTCGTGGACTTGCGATTACCACACAGATTTCCATCTTCAAGCAAGACATTCGTTCCGTCATGTTCCACCGCCGCCTCGCGTCAAAGATGCCGCTCGTTGCAGCAGCGAAGAGCTTCAGTGACGTACCGCGCTATGACCCAGTCGCGCAAAGGACCCTAAAGCTGTTGGAGAGGAAGAAGGTGACGACGTTGGACCTGGGCATTCTAAAGGCCAAGAACAAACCTATCACGATGGTCACGGCCTACGACTACCCTTCGTAAGAGACCACAACGTTACAACAATCAACGGACCATATGTGTAGAGCAGTGCACGTGGACCTGGCTGGCTTTGACATCCTCTTGGTCGGGGATTCTGTTGGCATGGTCGAGTTGGGCATGGACACGTATGAATGGACATTCATGTTCCAATTTGAACGACACCCCTTTCCATCTAGAACAATCCCAGTGTCCCTTGACGACATCATTTATCACTCGAAGGCTGTACGCCGGTATGTTCTCCAACCTTCGCATCGTGCCATCCTGCAGGAAATCACCTCAGTTGCCAGCGGAGCGACCCGACCGTTAATCGTGGGCGACATGCCATTTGGAACGTGTGAAGGCGATCCGTATGAAGCGTTGAGAAATGCGCAGCGACTGATGAAGGTTTGCATGGCCCTGTATGGATTGGGATGAAGCCGTATCTGGGCCATTAGGAAGGCGGTGTCGACTGCGTGAAAATTGAAGGTGGTGTCGAGCGCGCCAAAACAAGTACGTTTCGAACCTTCACGTTCCGATGCTCATGGGTGGGTTAGTTCGAATGCTGGTCGATGGTGGAATTGCCGTGATGGGACACGTGGGGCTGCGTCCCCAAGCTATCAGTGTCCTGGGCGGGTTCCGAGCGCAAGGCCGCACGGGTGCTCTCTTCAAGTCATCGAATCGTACATTCATCCTCACCCAACTGTAGCAAAACAAGCTAACCAAATCATCGAAGATGCACTGGCCGTCCAGGTTTTCCACTGTGCACCATTTCCCTTGGCCATTCTGTGACCGACCCATAGAAAGCGGGAGCGTTTGCCGTCGTGCTGGAATGCGTACCTTCGGTGCGTCGAACTTGATTGCACGTTTGGGGAATCAAACGTCCTCCAGGTCGTCGCCAAAGCCGTGACGGATATTTTGGACGTGCCGACGATCGGAATCGGCGCCGGCCCTCACACCAGTGGCCAGGTACACACCTCGCCGCTCCAGATCTAAAAGCATGGTCGTCGTAGGTGTTGGTGTTTCACGACGTGCTTGGCATGCTGCAGCATCCTCACCACGCCCAGGTAATTACCACTTCCACGTTGTTGTCCGAAACGATTCATTTTTTTGTGCATTTCGCGTGTTGTTCCTGGCACAGCATGTGCCCAAGTTTTGCAAGAAATACGCCGACGTCGGCGAGCGCATTCGTCAAGGTCTGGAAGAATTTCGAGAAGACGTGGAGAATCAACGATTTCCGTCGGAAGTTTTTGCCCCGTACAAAGTAAAACGCACACGTTTGGGATTTCGTGCAATGCAAAAACGGATGGAAATATTGATAGATGTCGAAAGAAGAACAGCGCAAGCTCCAGCACCTCGTCGACACAAAGTTTGCCAAGCGAAAAAACGCGGACGGCGGCGATGGCGACGACGAAGGCGGCTTCGGCGTGTCCAAAGTATACTAGCGACTGGTCTTGTTCTGATGCTTACTTGTACTTCTTGCTGTTGGCATTCGACTACACAAACAAACCGGTCACACAAGTGCACACACACAATCATGCGGATTGGAAACTCACTTGGGATTGCTTTGGTGCGCTTTTTTGGGATCGGCCACTTCTGCGTGGAGTGAGCTTTGGCACATCAGGGATTGCTCTGGGGTCCTTGATCGAGGAGCCAGGGAGGCTAGTGGACAGGAGGGAGGCCGTGGTAGCAACTTCGTCACACTGTGGATCGGTCGCAAGTGGCGCGTCAATGGAGCAAGGCACAGTCGTGACTGGAGTTTCGCCACTCTTTGAATCGGTCGAGAGTGTAGAGATCAGAGGAGTGGGTATAGTGTTGTCTGTAGGTTGCTCCAAGAGTTCCGCGACGTCGCGGGGTGGAGCATTGTCTTCCTGGGCCTGCGAGACGATCGTTTCTGCCGGACGAGAGGAAGATGAATGTCGAATAAACATCACGTCCTCGTTCGGTACACGTTGTTTGCGCGCAGTTAGGCCTTTGCGACGTACGCCGAACCACCCCACGACAACAGCAACGACAAGGCCCACCAAGAACGTCATCAGCTGCCACAATATGCCGAGGCCTATGAAGGGTGCATGCGATAGCATGGAAGCACACTCGGGGGCTACGGTGACGGCATGCGAGACAATCATTCCATGACCCAAGCGGCCGATCAGGGCTTGCGGCGTGAACTCGACGCCTACGTCGACATCGTAGCATTAGGTAGCTCATTCTATATCTCAGCAAAACCTGGGAATCGCCACTGCGTGTACAAGTACTCTTTCCAGTTCAGCGGCTTGGTCGCTTCAAGCGTGATTGCGTCGGTTTCAAAGAGGAAGACAAATACAGTCGACACCGTGTCCAGGATCCCTTCGTCGCTGTGTCCCTTGCCGTTCAAAGAAGGAATTCTGCCGCTGAGTGGTTGCAAGAACACATCCAGTACTGGGAGCCATGCTTGCCTACGAATGGCGTGAACCGCTGCTGGACTAGGTGTGACGCACGGAATTAGGTGGATGTTCTGGAGTACGAGCATGTTGCGTCGAGGGCATCGCTTGATGAGGTTGGCAAGGGTTAAATGGATGGCTGCGTGGACGTCCTTCTTGGACTCCTTCGACTGAATCAACTGTGGAGAACCAATTTCGCGGGTCATGGGTGATTCAGCTAACGATTCAGGCGCCTATGTGCAGCACCTCGTGGATGTCAAGGTGAACAAGTCGATCTGTCGCTGTTGACGCGTGATCAAAGTACGTTGCAGCAAGGACGTTGGACGAGTGTCGAAGCGTCTATGACCACCACACATGAGAACATATCGTCATTCTTTTGGTTGACCAGACCCACCTCGGACGAATTGCCAAAGAGTACCAACGACAGCGGGAGCTTTCGGTCGTAGTCCAGTCTAAACCACACGTCATTGGGTTACATTCAAGTCTTCCTCTTGGGCCCATGCATACTCATGCGAGACAATTGCATCGACTAGATCCGGCCCCAAGTAGTCGAGGCAGGTAGCTACGCATGACAGAGTCAGTGGTTGAAAAACCAAAGCCGACATACTGCGTTCGACTACTCTGTCCGCAAAGTTATTTCCCGCATTAAACGGCGAGCATGTGTCTTGTGGGATCGCCACCACGCATCCTACTCCCGCGCACAGCGCCCATGCCCATGCCGCCGTCGGGAGCTTGCACCATCTTCGGGTCATCTTGGAAATCCCAATATAACATTACGTTTTTAACCAATCAAACCACGTTGTAGTCCAAGAAGGCCAATCACAATTGACGTATTCTGGAAGTGTCTCAAGTAATACACTCAATTGATTGGTGGAAAAGACATTATTTTATCCAACCAGAACAATCGGTGCCTGCGACTTCAGCGGACGCAACCAGACGCGGGTTCTGATTGGCTGATGAAAGTCTCATCGTTGCCCATGGATGCCAATCGAGGGCATTTCCAGAATCGACCGCTCGACGACACCCACACTTGGTTCCACCCGTCGGCATGTCTCTCTTCCGAACCGCCCTTCCCCGCGCCAAGGCTGCGTTGAACTGCCGCAGCGTCCACAACTCCCGCGGCCTACTGTGGGATGAGATCCGCAACCACAATCACCCTGGAGATCACGCGAATCCTATCTTGTCGACACCGCAAACTGTCGCTGTGATCGGCGCACCTATGACTCGTACGCTTGATCGAGCTCACCCATGCTAAACCGTTGGGTTCATGTAGATGGACAACCGCTTCTCGGCACGGACTTTGGTCCGGATTTGCTCCGCAACGGCGGCTTGCACAGCTTGATCACGGATTTGGGCTGGTGCTGCGAAGAAACTGGTATGACGATGGATCATTCTGACACACGATAACCTCACGGCGTTGCATGCAGGGAATCTTAACTTCCGCGCGCCGTCGGCCGGGGACCCTCAAATTGACCCCAAATACGGTCGCGCCAAGCGCTCGTTCGCGGGTATGGAAGCCTTCGGTGTACATGATGATTTATGATTGGTACTTTAGTCGGCAACGGTTTGAAGCAAATCGCTGATGCCGTCGAAAAGAAGGCTTCCGAGGGCAAATTTTGCCTGGTGCTTGGTGGCGACCACACGATCGGGACGGGCTCGTTGGCTGGTTTGCTCCGAGTGCACCCTGATGCCGGCATTATCTGGGTCGATGCGCATGCTGACATCAACACGCCGCAAACGACCGAGAGCGGTAACATGCACGGGATGCCAATCTCGTTTCTCATCCAAGGCCTTGTCGACCCGGCGCGCGTGCCTGGGTTTGAATGGCTCGTGGATGGCCCTATCATGAAGCCTGAGCAACTGGTATACATTGGGCTGCGCGACGTCGACAGCGGTGCGTACCCAGATAGCATTAAACTTCACGAGTGTCGTGCTCATGGAACTCTAGGCGAACGACGCATCATTAAGGAGCTGGGTATCAAAGCGTTTTGCATGCAAGCCGTCGACAAGTACGGCATTGGCAAGACGATGGAAATGGCCTTGGACCATTTGTGCGGCAAGCAGTTGCGACCCCTCCACATGAGCTACGATATCGATGCCGTGGATCCCGTCGATGCCCCGTCCACAGGCACACGAGGTACCTTATCGAACGCAAACGTTGGAAAACCCGTGGTGTGAACTTTCAATTTTTGTCTAGTGCGCGGAGGGCTCACGTGGCGTGAAGCGAACTACGTGGCGGAAGCAGCTGCGGAATCCAACATGGTAAATACGTTCTGTCTTCTTCGACGGTTGCGGCTCATGCAACGCGTAGCTTGTCGGTTTGGATATGGTGGAAGTGAACCCGTCGTTGGCGCCGGGCAAAGGCGCGGCGATCACGGTCGACATGGCGCTGCTGCTCATCGGGTCGGCTCTGGGGAACCGCATTCTTTAAGTCTGGAATAGTAGACCTGTCACGCATTGTATAGATTTTCGCTGTGTTGTATCATTTTAGACGACTCTTGGGGAGACGTCTCGGCAACGAGCAGAATTGTCGTGTCTGATGGAGGGAGTGACTGGAGGAAGTGGAGGACTGCAGCGGCGTCTGCAAATGGCTACGACAGGGGTGCGTGAATTCGGCGTCTGAGCCACTCGTACCACAGGAGCTGGCAGCTTGGAGTCGAGGTTGTAATACACACGATCGATCTGTCCACATGGCTGAGGTGAAAACGGCATGAGAGCGAGGTGCACGAACCTGACGGATGGTAAACCAATGTCGGGTTTGCCAAAGGCCCAGCATGCGGCTCGAAGAAATGTTGCACAGCAGACCTTTCACAGATGACAAGTCGATGGAGTCGAGAGACTTGCGTCGGTCAAAGTAGGTCGTTCGGTGCCCTAAAGCAACATTTTGTTGTGGCAGCTGGCTTGACGACAACAGGAAAGCAGTGATGCCGACGGACCATAGCGAAGCAGTGCCGTGGTTAACACGTCCACCCCGAAGTTACCGATTCCCAGTACAGCTCGGTAGGGGCTGAATCCCCACGTTGAATCAGTCGTCTGTGCGAGTGTTTCTGCTATGGCGTCGAATTCGTTGGCACTGAATGCCCTCCCTACGACAGCGGACTCGAGTCTGTGTCGACACAATCAACTAGGACACGTCATACGCTGCAGCATATTGTTGACCGAATGAAGCCCGCAGCGCATGAGGAACTGCTTCTCATGGTAAATGTTGCTGCTGTCTCCAAGAGTCGCTGCGTCCGTCATGTCAGCCTTCGACCAGTTTCAACACTTGCGTTTTCGATGTATTTTTTAAATTGTGAAAATATATTCATATTTTCAGGTCATCATCATCACCAATGCACCGGCAATCGACGGGAGGCATGTGGGTGCCTGGTGTGAAGAAAGCTCAGATGTCTGACCGTGGAGAAGAGCAATTACCTCCAGTAGTTTCGGTGTCGAGCTTGCCCATCGAAGCTCGTGAAAAGGAGATCTTGTATGCAGTGGAAACATCGTCGGTCGTGATCTTGGCTGGAGAGACTGGGAGCGGCAAGACCACGCAAACACCTCAGTATTTGTACCGCGCCAAGTTTGGCAAGATTGCAGTGACACAACCTCGACGAATTGCTGCCATCACGGTGGCAGAGCGCGTGGCCTCTGAAATGGGCGTTCGACTTGGTGGCGAGGTATAGTTCGCTCAAACGTTCTCTCCCCTCTCGGTGTTCGAATGACTCCAACATCAATACCTTGAATAGGTTGGGTATGCCGTGCGCTTTGAAGAGAAATGGGATCCCGAGCGCACTGGCATCAAGTTCCTCACGGACGGAATGCTCGTGCGGGAAACCATGCTCGATCCATTGCTGTCCCATTACAACGTCATCATGCTGGTACTCCTTGACATCCTAGATAGTTTGTTCAGCTTTATTCATCCTGCTTTAGGACGAAGCCCACGAACGCAACTTGGAAACGGACATTTTGCTTGGGTTGATAAAAAAGATCATGAAAAAGCGCCTTGACTTGCGAGTGGTACAATTACACTTCGTGGCCTCCGTCGTGACGCTCTTCCAGATCGTGGCGTCGGCTACGCTCCATGTGGAGGCCTTCGAGCGCTTCTTCTCATCGATCAAGCACGAAGGTGGAGTGATTAAACCTGTCGTGTCCATCGCAGTTCAGGTAAGTTCCGCCCCCTGCCACCATTCGCAACAAGTCTTTTAGGGTCGCCAATATCCCGTCGACGTATTGTACTTAAAGGAGCCCGCGGCCAACTTTGAACAGAAAACCATCGACACGGTGCTGGCCATCCATGAGCGCGAAGCACAGGTGCGACCAGAAAGAGGTAGCCAAGGTGATACTATTTCTCCAGGGCGACATCTTGGTGTTCTTGCCTGGCCAAGAAGAGATCGACCACGTCGTCCACCGACTGAGTCAATCAGCGAGTCGCACGCTACTGCCCCTGGCGTTCTACGGCTCGTTGCCAGTGCATGTCCAGCAAGCTGTGTTTGATCCGACGCCGCCGCATGTCCGCAAGGTAACCCTTGCATCGTGTACCATCCTTGCAGTAGTGTTACGTTGGAGTCGTGACCAGGTGATTGTGGCAACGACAATTGCCGAGACGTCCGTGACGATTCCAGGTGTTGTGTACGTTGTGGACAGCTGCTTTGTCAAACTACCATTCTACAACCCGTTGACGGGCATCGAAGCCCTTGTGACAACCGTCGAATCCAAAGCGGCGGCAAAGCAACGAGCGGGACGAGCAGGGCGCATGCGGCCAGGTGTCACTTGTCAATCGCTCTCGCGCTAATGTTTTCACGACAGGCAAATGCTTTCGTCTGGTCACTGAAGCCACGTACCGCAAGACGTTTCCCAAGCACACGATCCCGCAGATCCAGCGAACCAACTTGGCGCCAATTGTGCTGCATTTGCTCAGCATGGGGATACAGGATATCGTACACTTTGACTTTTTGTCGCCGCCGACACCGGAAGCTTTGGTTCGCGCACTGGAAATTCTGTGTGTGCCTATCTCTCACGTGCGCAAACTTGACAATTCTGAGTCATGTAGGTACTCACTGGGAGCGATTTCCAAGGACTGCGTCTTGGTTGAGCCATTGGGGGCGCACATGGCCGAGTTCCCCGTTGATCCGTGCCTGTCCAAGATGCTGCTCGCTTCGTTTGATTTCGGGTACGAGGGGGACATTCTATTGCAGAGCGATGGACTGTTCATTGGATCGATGTCGCGGGTATGCCTATGTAGCTGCACGGAAGAAGCGCTGACCATTGCCAGCATGGTGAGCGTGGATGACATCTTCATCCATCCTCGGGCGTCGAAAGAGCGCCAGCTCAAGGTATGATGTGGTCGTAATTTCCTGAGGAAGACATTAAACTGGATTGGGCTTTGTTGTTTTTCGTAGCTGAAAGAAGCAGTTGCAGAATTTGCCCATCAACAGGTAAGTCCTGTTTCGTGGGTTTCATCTTCCAGGCGTGCCACGCTTGGACATGGCTTATCCTGAGCTGGGGCTTGGCAGGGCGACCATATCACGTATTTGCACATATACAACGAGTTTTTGGAGAATGACTGCAGCCGGTCGTGGTGCGACGAACACTGTTTGAATCACCGTATCTTGATGCGGGCGACGGAAATTCGAAAGCAGCTGCATCGGTGAGCCTCATTCCTGGCCATCCGCACAGATCTTGCAAATGGGTTGTAGCTATGTCAAACGTTTTGCTACCGCCGACAATGCGATTCATAGCTGCGGCGACGACAAGCAACCGGTACTCCAGTGTCTTGTTGCGGGCTTCTTCGCCAACGCGGCCAAGTTGCATGGAAGCAGTACTTACAGGTATCGTTGTCGCCCGTGTGCAGACTCCTTCCTACGCGACGTATCACCTGTAGAACTATCAAGGACGGGCGCATCGTGCATGTGCACCCGACGTCCGTCCTGAACTCGTTCATTCGGTCGCCCGAGTGGATTGTGTACCATCAAAGTGTTCTTACAGACAAGGAGTACGTGCGTGAGATATCAAGGTACTCCTCAATTTCGCTGCGTTTCGTGTGGCTAAGAAAAGGGGGCTATTGTAGCATTGACCCGAGGTGGTTGGTGGCCGCGGCGCCAGAATACTATTACTGCAAAGACGTCAGTGCAGTTGTGTCTGGAAGTTCGGGGGATATCGGGTTGCCGAAAGCCCCGCCCCCGACTGCACAACAACCGGCCGCAACGGACGCCAACGGTCGCATCTTGTTTCGGCGGCCGACTCCATCGAGTACAGCAACGACGAAGAAGCTGCCCGTCCACATTGGCAAGAGCAAGGGCGGGCTCCGCTCGCAGTTTTGAGTCAACTGATTCTCTGCAGAGGCAACTTTAAGTTCGTTCTTTAAATGGACTTTTCAGCGCAGTGCTGGATCGCCTGAACTCGCCATCACGACCGAAAAAGCAAGCGACTATGTCGAAGAAATGCATACGCCAGAGCGGTGTATGCAAATCGAGTAGGTGAATTATGTACAATCCATGAGAATTAGCTTGGCAGGGACTACGGCACACGGTGTTTGAACCCCTCGATGGGATGCACGGGCAATTTAGATGGAGATCTCGAGCAAGGCAACACCAACAAGACAGTACAGCACGATCAACATGGCGCCTTCGAGCCAATTGCTCTTTCCATCAGCTACGACCACGTACACAATTACACTGGACACGACATACGTCATTGCTTCGAACGCATTGAACGCCAACGTCATGGGTTGGCCCATGAGCCACCCCGCAATGACACACACAGGCACGACAAATACGGCAATTTGAGTCGCGCTGCCGACGGCGACACCCATCGCGAGCTCCATGTTATTCTTCAACGCGACCTTGATCGCGGTAATGTGTTCGACAGCGTTGCCGACAATCGGCAGCAAAATGATCCCGACAAATGGCTTGGGGATGTCAGCACTGACAGTGAACCCGTCGACAGACGAAACGAGAAACTCGGAGAACAGCGACACGAGTAACGTCATGACGAGCAGCACAACCAACGATCCTTGGAACGAAAGCTCGGGCTCTTCTTCGTCCTCGTCCTTCTCTGCAAGGATGGCACGGTGGGTCACGAGTTGGTATACCATGAGCAGAATATACATGAGAATGAGAAACAATGCAGAAATGTGTGACAGCCCCAGGACCGCGTCGTCGTTGTTCAGAAGAGGGAGGTCGATCGAGGGCTTGCTGTACTGGTAATAGGACGGCACCAACATGGCAAAACTGGACAAGAAGAGGAGCGACATGTTGACGGACGCGCTTTGAGCATTGAAGACGGACTCACTCGCGCCACCGACGTGGCCAGCGATGAAACAAGACCCAAGAACGAGAAGCATGTTGGACAGCATGGATCCGATTAGCGAACTTTGGACGAGCGCGACTTCGCCTTTCTTGAGGGCAAAGATAGCAATGATAACTTCGACAGCGTTGCCAAACGTGGCATTCACGAGCCCGCCAATCGTATCGCCTGCATGGAATGCTAGAGCCTCCGTGGCATCTCCCAACATGCTCGCGAGGGGGAGCATCGTGAGAAAGTTGAACACGAACACGGGAATGTCGCCCCATTCCGCAAGGTACGACCACACTGCAAAAGGCGCAAATACCAGAAACAAGTTCACATACGATCCGAACAAGATGTTGCGGACGGCATGGACAAATGAGACGTGGGTCGTTGTGGACGCGGCTCCCACGGCCCCACTTTCCACGGACACTACAGTCGGGGTGGTTTGGGCGGATTCGAGAAGCCGAGTGGCTTCATCAGCACCTCCTTCCTCCTCCATGCTCGGCGTCCGCAAGAACTTGGACGCTTGTCGCTTGATCATCCTGCGGTCGCGCTCTGTCCTTTCTGGGGAGCTTCGCCAAATGTGGCTCTCCGACTGCTCGGCTTCTCACGACGGGCCACCTGCAGCTGAATTACCGTATTCAAGTATTCTGTGCCAAAATGTGCCCCACAATAGCATAATTCACTCGGCAATTGTACTTTTTGAAGGAATTACACCGATTTTTGCGGTGAATTTCGCCTCGTGCGCTGGATCTCGAGCGTTTGGATTGGCTACAAAAGGTTCGATTTTTGAGAATACGAAGCACTGATTGGTGCAAATGCTGGCTCAGTCTGCGCACACCCAGGACAATTCGCCAACACGAGCCCGGTGTGGAGGGTCGCGAGCCAACGTAGGTTTGCTCATGCAAGAGGACTTCGAGCAGTAAGCTGGGAACGGAAGATTGGTCGACTGTGCTGAAGGACGGCCGTGCCACCCGGGTCTCATGCGGAATGAGCTCAGTTCAGTGGAAAACGATCTCTTGTTACTCGATTCGGTGAAAACGAGGCGAGATGTAGAGAGACGGCGTAATCAAGTGTGAGTGCGATGCATGCAGGTAAGGGAATGCGACGGAACAGCGTCGCCGCATCTCCTCGTCGACACGGAGACGCGATTGGAACAACGATTCCTCGTCGATGTCGCTGGGTTGCAAGCATGAACTAAAAATCAGTCGATTCATTTATTAAGTGCACATTTTTAATGCATTCCAGTAGAATATCGCTTGGAACATTTGCCCCTCAAAAGACAGGATATAAACCGATCGATGGATCACATCGTGTACCAAGGCAGCACCATCTACGATGCCGCGCTGAAAGGAAACTTCCCACTCGTGGTGCTGTTATGGGGCATGATAGCTGCCCAGCAAATGAGCCCATTCACCCCCGATGACAACAACAACTCTGTGATCCACTACGCCGCAGCAGGTGGTAACGTCGAAATTCTGCATTTTTTCGCCCAGCAGGCTGTCCTGGCGAGTCCAAATGCCACGACTATCATGGACGGGCCCAACAAGAGCGGCGAGACGCCGTTGATCCGCGCGGCCCATGTTGGGAATGTATTGTCGGTGAAAGTGCTCGTCGACTTGGGATGCAACGTCATGCATCAGGATGCAAACGGAAACACAGCGGCCCACCACGCAGCTCGTGAAGGGCAGATATGGATGCTGCACTACTTGCTCGAAGCGCAAACGACTCTAAACATTGAAGGTTGTGTTCCTGGTGGGCAGTGCGCTATGAAGCGAGATATTTTGCAGTGGGCGTGTGACGGCGGTATGTGTCACGGCTCACGGCACTTAGTGACGATTGTCACCGTGCGCATGCATCAGGGAAGCAGGAAATGATCGATTATATTCTACGTCGTGGCCACAACCCCAACATCCCTGACATCGAGGTATTATTTCACGTCCTATCCTGGACAACCTGATGCATCCTGACAACTAGGGTCGAACTGCTCTGCACCACGCAATCCTCGACGCCGATAAAGGTCTCATTGAGAAGCTGATGTCGTACGGCGCCAAGACCGACGCCTCCGACGACCGTGGCTTGACGGCGCTGTCCACGGCGAACAATCTCCGCCGCCACACAATTGTAAACATGCTCCTGGATGCACCTGCACATGTAGCCCATCCAGTGCCAAAGGTAAGATTTGTTGACAAACGGCCAATGGTGCATATTCAATGTTACCCCAGTCGTTTGCACAAATCCGCCGTACACGCCAGCACGTA